AAAGACTCCTCATTTTATGTCCTAGATTGAATGGTTTAAGTTTAAAATCTATGAAACAAGGTGCTCGGTTTTTAAGTAAAACTTTTAAGGCAAAAGTGGGAGTTTTAGTCTTGCTTCTCAAATAATTTTCTATCACCTCAGGCCCCCATTAAGTAGAAAGACGGTAAAATTGACGTTCTCAGCAACCATGCTCGAAAGGATATTACAGAATTTGCTATCAGGGCACATTTCTGACACATTGTGAGGCTCAAGTAGCTGATAAAACGATTTCAGGTCATTATCCCATTTCCCTTTAGTTACTGCTACCCTGGTGGTCTCCTGCATTGTGACTTTGCTCACACAGGAGGCTTACCCATTATAAGCTGTCAGCAAATCATCAGCTGTTCTGTTTCTTTAAAGAAAGGTAATCAACATCCCCGGCAGCAAGGGGCCAAAGACCTCCCTGTTACTTTATCTCCCAATGAACTCTAGAAGTGCCTACTTCATGCTACGACCATTGTTGAAAAGCTTGGCTCACCGTGCTAGGCAGAGACCATATCCTGGTATTCCACTTATAGCTCTGGCTGAAATTGTTGCCCTGGGAAGCTGATGTGAATTAGGTTCCTCAGGTGAACTCAGCTTTATTTCTCAGTCAAAGCCAAAAGGAACATGCCTACAAAACCAATTTCAAGCCCACAGAAGTCTGTTATTTGCAACCTGTGCAGTGACCAGCAAGAAATGTACAACAGGAAAGAAAGAGATGTGGAAACATAAGTAATACATTATCAAAAAAAATGGGTGGACAAGGGGAGATGGAGAGGAGAAGGGAGTTGAGGGAAATTGGAAGGGGAGGTGAACCATGAGAGACTATGGACTCTGAAAAACAATCTGAGGGTTTTGAAGTGGCGGGGGGTGGGAGGTTGGGGGAACCAGATGGTGGGTATTAGAGAGGGCACAGATTGCATGGAGCACTGGGTGTGGTGCAAAAACAATGAATACTGTTATGCTGAAAAGAAATAAAAAATTAAAAAAAAAAGAAAAAAAATGGGCAGAATTTGATGACATCGACCTCAAAAAGAAGAATCTAGATCATTTCCCTTTGAAATAATCAGATTGTTTTGGTGGCAATCCCGGTGCTGTATAACCCCTTTGCCCACATTCTTTTTCCATTACTTTGAGTTGTTTGCACAAATCAGTTAATGTTCATGGTGAAATCAAGAGAACTGGCATGTCCAAATTAAAAAAAAAAAATCAATTTCCCCTCACGTAGGATACTGGTTGTTCAAATGTGATCATTTCAATGTTAAAAAATATGTTTGTGTGCTAATTAGCAAAGACTGCTGTGTGCTGATCTGACAAAGCACTATGAGTTTTAATGAGGGAGAAACAAGTTAAATCTGGGTAGAAAGACCTTTCTTATGTCAGGATGACATATTTTTTTTCCCCAAGTGAGGATCCATGCCTTATTCTTAATTTTAGAAGATGATGAGCAATTTTTTTTCTCATTGTGCTATTTGGGTGTTTTCTGATGTTTGTTGTGTGTGGGGGGATTGATCAGAGTTATTTTCTAATTGGAATGAGGCATTATTAAAACAATTTTAAAAGTAACACAGGGGTATTAAGTATGAATATATTTCTTGATGCACTGGAAAGGAATTGGATACCACAATGGCCTTGGGAAGAAGGCCATTCCAAAGCTTGTACTTCCTCAAAAAGATGTATGGACACATGTCAGCAGCTCCAAAATGGCCTTATCCTTCCGGAAATGTAAAGTGATAGGCAAGACCTCACTTGTCATCACTACAAAATGTGAGAGGTGAAATATACGGCTAAATAGAACCTTTATCTCCTTCCTGAGCTAAAGGAAGGAAGCCTTTGGAGACATTTAGTATGTTTGGAAGATGAAGATAAAGGGACATGTCCTTTTGCTCTAACAAGAGGACAGCAGAAAGACTGTCCAGCCCCTGCTTTCCACATACTTTGTTTCTCTGGCCTCCAGACCTAGCAGAAGGAAATGTTTGACCCTTCAAGGAATCATGCACACTGGATCGCAGACAGGAGCCTTGCCCCATTCGTGCATAGCACATTGAGATGTCATGAAGCCCACTGAAGGTTTTGAATCCTATTTGCCTTCTCATGTTTTAGGAGTTACCCATATTTAAGAAGGGTTCAAAGAGAGAATGTCGCTTTATTTGGCTTTCACTGCCAGAGGTCTGTTTTGACTGTTATTCCCTCATTCATTTATTGCTAAAACATTTTTTTAAAAGATTTTATTTATTTATTTACTTGACAAATGGAGATCACAAGTAGGCAGAGAGGCAGGCAGAGAGAGACCGAGAAGCAGGCTCCCCACCGAGCAGAGAGCCCGATGCGGGACTTGATCCCAGGACCCCGGGATCATGACCTCAGCTGAAGGCAGAGGCCTTAACCCACTGAGCCACCCAGACGCCCACTGCTAAAACATTATTAAAGTGCTTTCTTGGTGTCACTGTGTCAAGTATTTTTCATCTACATGAATGTTTTAAAATCTAGGCTATGGTCTTGTAAAGTAGGACTTTGGACCCCCATCTGACCCTCATCTAAGGAAGCTGAGGCATGGCAGGAAGTAACTTGCCCAATGTTGGGACTAGAGTCAAGCCCAAATATGGGAACAGGACTAGCTCCTTTCTCTCTCTGAGCTGTGGTCTGTTATCCCTGACGTTGCATGCACTGACTTTTGTTGCTGTATCTTGGACAAAGCCTTTTCTTCTCTACAGGCTTCTGATCATTAACAGCACTGGGTTAGTTACCATGGGTTAAAAAGAGAAAAGCAAATCTAAAAGTTTTTGAATTATATCAGCATGTCTACAAGAACTGGTTGTAAACGTGACCACATTTGGTGCTAAAAAAGTTTTTGAAATATGGAAGGGTGAGTTAATCTCTTGAATCAATTGTAACAAACTCAGAATCACACAGTGTCCACATGCTGGGGTGAAGCTGAGGACAGAGAGGTCAATAGAGAGAAGGTCAGGATTTCATGAACCCAAACCTTGACCTTTCCAGTGCAAGGAGCATAACCTGGGCATTGACCAGGAGGGGTAAAGGGACTTGCCAATCAAAAGAGAAGTTAGAAACACATTTGGAGGATTTCCCATTTCTTTCTTTTTCTCTTTCTTCCTTTCTTTTTTTCGATTTAATTTAATTATCTATTTGAGAGAGAGAGAGAGAGTTCACACAAGCAGGGGGGTTGCAGAGGGAGAGTAACTCAAGCAGACTCCATGCTGAGTGCATAGCCTGACACGGGGCTCAAGCTCACGACCTTGAGATCCTGTCCTGAGCTGAAATCGAAAGTAAGATGCACAACTGAATGAACCACCCAGGGGCTGCATCTTTCTTCTTCTATAAGCTCTGCTCTGCCAGTGGGACAGAGTAGAAAGACAGCAGAGTTTGTGACAGGCATCCCTGAACTTGAACTTACTTTATTACTTATCAAGCCAAAAGAAATTGGTAAGGGATCATCTTTAAATATCTGACCCCTCATAGGCAAAATGGAGATAAAAACGTCTAGCTCAAAGATTTGTTTTAAGAATTGAATCAGATAATATAGGCCAAGTATCTCTTTGGTACTGCATGTTAGCAATGTTGAATAAATGGAAGTTATTATTTATTTAATCATTAGTTCAAAAAACACACAACAGCAGGTTTCAACATTGTATGTACAACAAAGTTTCGACTGCTTAGAAGCCATTTGAAAAAAAAAAAAAGATCAGGGAAATAAGCCAAACAATTTAGGATTTCCTATGTCTGACTGAAAGAAGTCACTGTTTTTTCTGTCTTTATGTCTTTCTAAACTTTACAGGCTGTGTACCCTTTGCCTGTGTTATTTTAATTAAAAAAAAAAAAAGCAAAAGAGAACTATCTCTCCCTTTAAGTGGATTCTTTAGAAAACAAAACAAAACAAAACAAAACAACTTTTCCTTATTTGTTTGAGAGAGACAGAGATTCTGGGACAGGGGTGCAAAGGGAGAGAGAATCTTAAGCAGACTGAGCGAGCAGCCTGACACAGGGCTCGATCTCACCACCCTGAGCTGAAACTAAGTCAGATGCTCAACCTACTGATCCACCTGGGCGCCCCTCCTTTTTTTTTTTTTTTTTTTTTAAGATTTTATTTATTTATTTGACAGACAGAGATCACAAGTAGGCAGAGAAACAAGAGGAAGCAGGCTCGGAGCAGAGAGCCCAATGCAGGGCCCGATCCCAGGACCCCGGGACCATGCCCTGAGCTGAAGGCAAAGGCTTTAACCCACTGAGCCACTAGGTGTCCCTTTAAGTGGATTATTAAGGATATGTTTCATTATATCTAGAAAATAGGAAACAAGTGGACAATGCATGAATTAAAATGCCTGACTTCTTTACTCTCCAAGGAAAAAAAGTGATCTCACATAATTTGCATATCATAGTAAGGACTCAGCCACTATTCGAATGTTTAATCTTTAATCACGATAGAGGTTCAGTTTTAGCTGACAAATGCTGTGCTCGACCACAGAAATTTAACTATAACATCTTTGTCTTTCTTACAGTGGAACTGGTCATCATAGAATTTGGTATTCCATTCTAAAGACAAGAGTTTTAGTAGATTTAATGATTATCTGTGTTGCCAAACAGTAACTAAGGTCTTTGAGATGCTATAATAAAATTTCTTCTTAAAGAAAATTGTTTTCGGGGTTGTGGTATCCCAACATTCTTACATCCTCTCTAGGGTCCCTTATCTTTTTTATAAAAATGGATATCCTTTCAATTGTCCCTTTTTTTGACTTGTAAGGAAATTCTCTTAAAGAGAGACCTCCAATTGGAGGAAAGCAGATTTGTTTACAAAAGCTGACAGAGCAAGAAAGACTTTTCTACATATAGACTGAGATGGAACTTTCTAGAAAAAGGTGCTGACACTCTCCTTTTATCGGACTTCCTTCCTTTCGATATTCTGTGAAATGGGACATTGAGAAGCAAGTATCAAAGTCCAAGAAAAGCGCTGTGCCACTTACCCATGCAGTCTGGGCCCCAGTGGCCTGGACAGCACTGAGGCTGGACATAGTCCTTTCTACAGATGTGGCGGCATCCAGGAAGAGACAGCGAGTACTTCCTGATCTCGAAGATGTACCTTGGAGGGGAAGGAGAAGACGTAAACCTGTTATCAGAACAATGCAGTTAACTCTGGGCAGTGGGATTAGCCCGGATTTTTACTTAGGTCTTTCTTTAGACTTGCCTATATTAAAACAAACAAACAAACAAAGATTGAATTCATTTTTTTATTTAGGGAGAACAAAACTTAATCATGATTTACCTTTAATTGTACAAAATGGAGGAAAAAATCAGAACACAATGCAAATGAAGGTAGAATATCTACAGTGACATCAGAAGTGAGGTTAGTAGATGGGAAATAGTGTTAGGTTCTAGGCATATGCTAGAGGTGCACCTCACACTTGTTGCCACCAATGTGAGAAGGAAAAGATCATGAGTTCTGTGATGCACAGGATCTCTGGATTTAAAATGAACCAACTGCTTAGGTTTAGCATTTTTTTTTTTTTTTCAGTTACTGTAGATGTAGACTTGTGAGAGGTGGTGTAATATAATGGACAATATTTGCCACCATGTCCTCAAGGGAGATGTAGTGATGAATTTCTTTTTTCTTTTTTTAAAATATTTTATTTATTTATTTGACAGAGAGAGAGAGATCGAGAGATCACAAGTAGGCAAGGCAGAGAGGCAGGCAGAGAGAGAGGGGGGGAAGCAGGCTCCCTGCTGAGCAGAGTCCCTTGCGGGGCTCAATCCCAGGACCCTGAGATCATGACCTGAGCAGAAGGCAGAGGCTTAACCCACTGAGCCACCCAGGCGCCCCTAGTAATGAATTTCTTAAAACAGTTTGTATACCATCTGGAGCAGCAATTCTGTGGAGGCTAAATACCATTGGGAATCTCCACATGGGTGACTTATTCCTGGTTTTGGCTTTAGTATATCTAGAGACAATCCTCCAGAATATCATTTCTTTCAACTAGACTGTTAAGAATAGTGTAATGGTGAGTTCAAGGTTGTACTTCTTTTTTATTTTTAAATTTTTTATTATTTTTATTTATTTTAATTAATTAATTAATTAATTATTTTTAAAAAAATCAAGGTTGTACTTCTAATCTAGTCCCTGAGCTACTGGCTTTATGGACAGTCAAGCTGAAGACAGAGGTGACAATTCCTCTGGAAGCTTGAGAATACTGGCAGGGGCATCTCTTCACAAAGATGGGAAAAAGGGGAGCCAAGGGTAGAACCAAACTTCCCCTTAAGAACCAACCTTGGTGGGGCGCCTGCATGGCTCAGTGGGTTAAAGCCTCTGCCTTCGGCTTAGGTCATGGTCTCAGGGTCCTGGGATCGAGCCCCACATCGGGTTCTCTGCTCAGCAGGGAGCCTGCTTCCCTTCCTCTCTCTCTGCCTGCCTCTCTGACTACTTGTGATCTCTGTCAAATGAATAAATAAAATCTTAAAAAAAAAAAGGAAACAACCTTGGATTTATTTCAGCATAAATGAATGACAGATCCAAGTCTTCAATTCTAAAACAGAGAGCATGAGTGCAATAATCTTATCGTGTGTGTGTGTGTGTGTGTGTGTGTGTGTGTATGTGTGTTGGAAGGGGATGATAAGGTGGGAAGGATATAACCAAGTGTCCACCTGCTATGAAAAAAGTAACCAGTATAAGAAAGTCCTCAATAAAGTCACCACATAATTTTAACCTTGAATCCTACATCTTTCTATATATTTTTTAAGAGAATCTGGTCACAGATGTGTGCCCGGTTTGGTACCAAATGGTCAACTGTCACATATGCTTGCTAATTCCACGTCAGTTAGTATTTGGAACCTTTTCTTAAAACTGATGACTTTGGTTTTAGAATATATCATGATCACATTAAGCAAACATGAATTTGAAATAGTGTTTAGTTTTTATTTTGTACAAAATAAAAAATAATACTAATTTCTCATTCCTGAATTAAGAATGAACTGATTGAGAGATGTCTAATGTCTAAATTAGTAGACTGAGTAATAAAACATGGTTTACATTTGAGTTTATAGTTGCTTCCATTAGCAAGAAAGTGAAAATGCTCGTCATCCTTTGCGAGGCTTAGCCTTGAATTATCAAAGTTTTGAATCATAAGAGGATTTCAGGAACTCAATGTTCCCACAAAATGCACAAAGCTGTAATTCCTTTGTCTTCTCTCTTCAGGTTCTAATCGGTTTCGGGATCCATAGCTAGTTGGTAAGATGCCTTTCAGACCTATGGCATTTTAGTCCATGTTCTGATGAGAACCCTCTCCAAATGAAACAAAACCCATATTTTCAAAATAAAGATGGGCAAGATGAGGGGAGAATGTTTATATACAAGACAATATAGTCAACTTTGTGTTAAAATGTGAATTAATAATATATTTTTTTAGATTCAAGATTGTAAATTGTGAGTAGACTGAATGTAGTCTTAGAATAAGGGAAAATTATGGAAATGCTTTGTAGCTTTTGAGATGGGAAGTTTCGATCTGGATTCACAATCCCTTAAATTTCACGACCGGAGCACATTTATTTTCCCGTGAATACCTGCAATCTCGCACACCCACGGAGCCGTTGGTAACCTTGGTGGAACCATCTGGGCATTGAACTCCCAAGTTCAGTGAGCAAGACTGGCACTCAGTTCTAATTGTAAGCAGAGATTTCTTATCACATCTTTTTGCCTGCAAAACCATAAAAACATAAAAAAAATCAAGTCCCATTAGCAGAGCCTTGGTTGGTCATTCTTCCCCATCGGCTCAAGTCAGTGGAATGACAGGGATGGCAACAACGTTGATTGGTAATGACAAACTAGTTACTTTCAACCTCATTTAGAAAGAGTGTTGGGATCAACAAGCAATGTTTAACATGGCTGTGGGTAGGAAGGAGGCTGCTTGTACCTGTTTGCTACCCTTGTTAGGTAAGGTAACATCTTGATAGGCAACACCTTGATAGGCAACACCTTGATAGGCAAGGTAACATCATTACATTCAGCAAAGCAAGGTAACATCATTACACACACATACGCAAATGGGAAACCTGAAATATATTATAGAGTATAATTTTAAAGTGGTTATTTAGGGTGCATTCGTTGTAGATCAACAGGGCTCAAGAATATTCTTTCAGCACTGGTTCTCTGGAAATAGTCTAGCCTGGGTACTAAATGCCATGAAGCATATAATTTCTGCTCCCAAGATGTTTGCAATCTTTTGATTATAGTTCAGCTAGAATTTGGGCTCCAGGAGGCAGTGATCCTTTTCTGTTTTGTCCTTGAGTATACCCTAAGCACCTAGAACAGTGTCTGACACATAGTAGTGCTTAGTAAATATTCGTTGATTGAATGAATGAGTTGTAGGAAATTCAAAAGACTCCCTAGAAACTGTTGCTTAGCAACATTAGGCAGTAGAGAATCAGAGGCTAAAATGAAGGATGCAGACCCACTTTGGTCCTGTTTTCAGGATCCCTCATTGTCTGTGAGGTTGATGCTGGTCCTCCCGAATGGATTTGGTCCCCTCTTTCCAGTATCCCTCATTTTTCCATCAAGTTTAAGAAGCAGCTTCATACAATGAAGAGAGACTCAGTTTGGGAGTTAAAAGACCTAAGCTTGGAATCAAGCACTGTATCTTGCTAAGTGTACAGTCTTAAATGAATTCCCTAACCTTTGCCATCCTCTGCAATGGGGAGGTGTTGGTCACCACTCTCCAGGTTCCTGAGACCTTTAAATGAAATAACACATGCAAATTGCCTGGCCCAGGATCTGGAAGGTCATAGGCAGTAAATGCTAGTTCTTGTGATGCTTCTCCATCCCCACCTCTGTGTTTTGTTTATTGCTTTTCCTGATAGGAATGTGCTATCATCCTGACTTCATCCTTCAAGGCCCTGTGGAACAATGCCACTTCCACAAAACCATACGCCCCTCTCTTCCTTTTCTCAACTTCTACTCTTCATGTGTTTGGCCAGTGGAAAACCTATTGTTGTCTTTGCTTTCCGTTTAAAAACCCCTTGTGGGAGGGGACCATGTCTCTTCCTTCTTACTTACTCTTATCCCCAAACTCCTTCTTACTTATTCTTATCCCCAAACAGCACAAGCTCAGCACTAGGTAGGGATGGTTAGAACATTATAATTACTTCCGAGTTTACTGAAATGGATAAAGGCTGCATAAGAAGAAATCTTATTTTTATAGAGAAATTTACGTTTGTACATACTTCCAAGGGCATCACCTTATTTGATCTTGACCATGCTGAAGATAAGGAGGGCAGGTTTCATCATGCCTGTTCTAGGGGGGAGAAAACCAAAGGAAGAGGAGGTTCAGTGACCCTGCCAAGGTCACACTGTAGGTTACTGGTTTTCGGATTCCCTGATTAGCTATTTCTCCTCCTTGCACGCTCTACAGAAGCATATAGAAAAAAAAATCTGTTTGTATGGGCAGCTTTCATTTGGTGATCTTTATGAACCAAAATATCTCTGGAATTTTCTTTATGGAATAATAATAAAAGCCACCCTTAGCTAGAGTTTGAATCAACTCCCTTTAATGGTTCATAGAACCTTCAGATTTTTTAAAGCAGGATTTTCTTTATATTAGGTTTTCCCATTTAGATAAGTGTATGGAAAGACATTACTTTTTCTTTTCTTGCTTAAAAGGCCAGATTTAAGTGTCTCTTTTCAAGAAATCTCTTGCTTTCAACTTGTCTTGTTCAAATGAAATGGGTCATTTTATCTCTCCTATTGTCTCCTCTGAAAAGTAAACTCCGCTTTAAACACCAGTCGAGGCCTGATTTCCACACTAAAGCAGGCACTCGTTGAAGCTGATGGTGGTGGTGATGAGGAGGATGATTATTCTGGCTGTGGAGCACCACTGGGGGAGAAAGTGAAGTTTTGAGAGAGACTGTCTATTTTGCTCAAGCTGGAACATCTAGTTGGCTGTGGAGCACGGTGACTGGTCCTCAGAAATATTTGTTAAACAAACGAGGGCCACTGTTCCAGATTGCCGCTCTCAAACCTCTGAGCTGGAACACTGAACGGTGATGCTATCTTCTAGTGTTTCCGTGAAAAGCATCATCCGAGCACTGCCAACTGGCATCAAGTCAGCACTGATAAAAATTCGCCTGGTACACATGTAACGTCATGTTTAAGTTTTATGATGGATAGAGAAGAAATCATGATTTGTGCACTGCATCTTAGAATCAACAGACTGCCTTGCTCATACCCCTGATGAGGGTGACCTCGCTGTACCTCTGATACCCGACATGCTCTATTAGCACACGTGAGCCTGCTCGAGACACTGGCGTGTCAGTGTCCTTCACGGGAGCTGCCGGCATGACTGCCCTGGGTACTTCTAGTACAACTTGTGGAAAATAGAAGGGATGAGTTCCCGAGGCATTCTGGAATACTGTGTTTCTCAAGCAGACATCACTCCACCTGGAATTCCCCAGAACACCTCTCTATTCATCTCTCTTCAACCACTGTTATTTCCTATATTCAAAATGACACAGCGATAAGACTATCAAAACAAAGGAAAACAAACCAACAACTCCTCCCCCCACCCCCAGGATACCAACATCAGCAGAGGCAAGAGGAACGTTAGCATTAAATCAGAGCTCCTAGCAAGTGTGGTTTAAGAATAGAATCAACTGAGTGAGCACACCTTCAGAGGGATTGCGTGCCACCATCAGGATCAGATTCTCCACTGGCTTTCACTTTATTGTATGAAGTCCAGAAAGTGCTCTTTACCCATGGCAACAGAGGGAAGCAAAAAACTTGGAACACACTAGGAACCTGAAAAATAACAAACTTACAAGTGTCATCTTACCTGGTCTGTAGTTTCAGGCGGGGAGCAGGAATTGTGTACAACCAATCCAAGAAGAAAAAGTACGAGATTTTGTAGCATGGTGAGAGCCTGTTTGCTCCTTCTGATGTCAGGCACTTGTCAGAAGTACTCAGCTATTCTCTTGTAGTCTGATGAACTCCCAGTGAATTCTCTTTCATTTCAGTCTTTGCTTTTAAACTCTTTCCCCCCTTTTTCCTGAATTGAAGCCGATGATATGTTAGAACTGCCTCAAGACAGGAAAAGTGGCAAATCCAGGGGTCGTGATGAAATCGGTCACTCTCAACTCTATATATGTCTTGGTTGAATGACAGGATATCCTGAAGAGGCTGAGGCGGAGACACGTTCTGGAATTTTTGTGCCTTATGAAACTCCCAAGAACAAGCTCCTGCCTCCTTCTGCTCTGCCTATCCCAGTTCTGGTCCTGCCTCCTCCTGGACCCACAGCCCCACCAACATGTATACGAACACACCATGGAAAACTGAAGGCCTCTGTCCCAGAATCCTAAGTCCCAAGCTTGCTGCCAGGCAGTATTTGTGGGAGTGCACCTAAGTGGGAATGATCCCACAGAGGGAATGTTGCAGAAACTCAGGGCCTTGACTTGTGAGAGAGTGGTGGCCTCACTTGGCATGGCTGGCAAGCTTTACTGCAAAAACATGTCTCTTTGCAGTTGCCAACAGTTGGGGTTTCAACTCATCCTTTCCCCTCTTCCATGTCATGTCCTGACAAATGACTGAGCCTGTAGGTCTCATCTTCCCTTTCAAGGCCCAGCTCAAATGCCACCTCTTATAGGAAGCCTTCCTGTCCTGCCCCTCAATACCACCTTGGAAACTCTCCTGGCATTTTGCACATAATACTACAAAAGCCCAGTCAAATCTGTCACAGCCCATGTGTCTGTATGTCTATATCCCATGCCCAGTTGTGAATTCTTTGAGGACGGGGGCAAGTCTTCATCTTCTCTATACATCTGAGAGCCTAGGGCAGAGACCTGCATTTGGAAAATAATAAAAACAAATAGTAACAGTCAACATTTGTTGGAAACTTACTATATGCTAGTCACTATGCTAGACTTCTCCATGGATTACTCCTTTTAATCCTCATAGCTCTTGGTGAAACAGGATTATTTCCCCCACTTTATAGATAAGGAAATGAAGTCAGAGAGGTTTGGCAACTTTTCTAAGGTCACACAGCTAGTAGGTGGGCATCCAGTTTTCTAACTGTGTGACTGTAGAGGCAGTACTGTTAACCACTACCCTCTATTGCCTAAAATAATGACTATTTAATGCAAAAACAAGTGGGAGGTGGTGCTCCAGTTTCACTGACATGATGGAAAAGTGTCAGGCTCAGAACCAGAAAGGATAAAGTCTGGGCTTATCAACAAGATAGGAGATGAGGGTGTGTCTTATGACACCAACTTAACAGAGAGACTCATGTGTTACAGACACTAGTTTTGGTTGAATGATTCTTCTCCCCCTGCAGTCTTTCTCTCTTTGAATTTTGGAAACAGTGTTACATTATGTGGGTCAGTAATCCAACAAACTTCCAATACAGACAGGCTCTTCAGAATCTAACCCAGAGGTCTCAATGGAAGATGCCAGATGGAGAAGTTCTTATAGTCCCTTGGTTCGGGGCATTTCAATCCTGGTTTAGGAACTTGGAGGAGTTTAGAAGAAATTCCCCAATGTCAGACCCTTGTCCAGAACAATCAAATCAGAACTTCCGGGTGTGGGGCTCAGAACAAATAGTTTTCAAATCTTCTGGGTGAAGCTGCTTGCTTGGGACTATTGCTTGAGGAAAATTGAACAATTATTGATGAAGCCAATGAAATCTTGAGATTTATGTCATAGAAGGGGTGTTCCCTTCATTTTCCCTTACACCAGGGAAAGAGGTCAGAAACTTCTTTCTGATTCTTTTCTCTCTGAAGGACATAAATAAATATCTGGGGCTTGGAATGGGTTAGGTCCCTGGGGAAATAATAAAATGAACCCATACTCGCATTTCCTAAAATCCCTATGCTTCATTAATTAGTTGCATTAAAAAATACATATAACTTAGGGTTATTATTGACATTGGGGAGGGTATGTGCTATGGTGAGTGCTGTCAAGTATGTAAACCTGGCGATTCACAGACCTGTACCCCTGGGGAGAAAAATATATTATATGTTTATAAAAAATAAAATTAAAAAAAAGTTTAAATGTAAAAAAATACATATAACTTATCCAGCTTTGTTTAGAAATTGTCTGAATAGTTTTATTAATTAATTTTGTTTCTGTTAAGCTCATTTGATTGCTACAAACAGAGGTTCTTCAAATTATTTCAAACCCCTACCACCACCTGTCCCTGCAACTAACAAGCAAAGTGCTCAGAATGGTGCCAACACATAGTGGGTGTTCCATTACTCTTAACCATCATTATTATATTATTAAAATATGCCAGTGTCATAGACAGTAGCTACACAGATCTCCACCCTTCTCCCAGTGCAGTTCCGAATTGGGTCTGGATTTCCTCTGTCCTGAGTCACCCCAGTTCTGTTAAGCTGTGTGTTCCCCCTTAGTGGGGAGTGTCACGTTCTCAACTGCCATCCATATTCCCTTTTTGGCAGATCGTTGTAATCTCAGTCTCTAACCATTCAGAATCGCTTTGAGACAAGGGTTTTTTTTAATCAGCAACTTTTGCTCTCTTCCAGTATCCCCTGCCGTGCTGCTGTCACTTGCTCTAGATGCGGGAGTGGCTTTTCTTCATGCAGCACTTCCCTTCTGCATTCTCACAGCTTCCTGCTTGGTCCTCCTGGATTAGCACATGTGTCCTTTGTTCCTGTCATCTGTTCTTATTGTGGTTCCTCGAGAGGGGCTGGTTGCCTCTTGAGTGAGAAGATTCATGCCTGGATTGGAATCTGCAGAGTTTTCCCATATTGGGAAATGCAGAAGATGAGCTGAGACCCTTCCTGGGTGACAGTGTCCTCTGTGGCCCCAGGATTTGGCCCCAGGATTCTGGGTTGTTAGTGTTTAACAGCTCCTTTCTCTACATCATGCTTGCTACTGAGATTTCAGTCCTTGGTCACTTTGAGTAATAAAGCATTTCATGTCTGCATGCCAAGAAGCGGGTCATTACCTTCACCATCATTGTCACTGTCATCACCATCCTCCTCCTCCGCATCATAAACCCAAGCAGAACTTTTATATGTGCCAGGTATTTTGAAAAATATTTAACTCAATTTACTTAATCTTCCCCACAAGTCTATGACATCCATATTATCATTATCTTTTCACCACCCCCACTTTACCGATGAGGAGACTGAGGCAGAGAGAAGTTGAGTAACTTGTCTAAGGTCACAAGGCTAGTAAGTGGCGGAACAGGGATTTGAATCCAGGTAGTATGGAGTCAGAGGCTGATGCTGAGGCATTCACGTGACATACTTTTGTCCTTGAATCTTGAGCAAGATCCTTACGGACCTTGTGAGGTGGCCAACGGGGCAAAAGTTAATGCTTCTGAAATAGGACAAACCTAGCAGTTTATATGGGGATCAATTGTATTTTTTGCTTTGCTAGAAAAAAGGGCAGAAATAGGGGATTTAAGGTTGATTTTCTGGTTAGAATTCAGGTTTCATTCTCTCAGCAGTTTTTGCTAGATGGAAGAAGAAAATGATCTCAGGGTGGCAGCTGGGTTTTGATCTTTCTTGAGTATCAGTCTAGAAAATTGAAACTGTTGCTTCACATACTTTCACAAATCGAACAGCTCCTAGAATTTTTCCCCTTTCTGAATTTTCACTTTGGGAAGTAAAGATTTAGAAAACAGAAGAATAATCATATGTCCCTGAAAACTTCCAGTAGGAGAAATCAGTGAGAACTCTTTGGAAATGCTTCCTATCCCAACTGAGTCCTCTCTGTCTAGTGTGGTCCTTGATAAATTTGGATATTGACCAACATAGAGCAAATAAGACTAACAAAACAGGCTTTCAAAGTCTTGGTTCACAGTATTAAATCTCAGTTTTACCATTAAAGATAATGTCTCGGTAGGAGAGATGGATTTCTCTGCCTGAGCATGCGGTTTTCATGTAGAGTAAGCATTTTCAACAGACTCTAGTTTTATTAAACAAATAATTTGGGGTTACATTCACCTGGATGTTTTTTGTGTGGGTGTGTCTATGTACTCATTGGGCAGAATTTTTGGCACCCACAGCATCTTGGCCAGCATACAAAATACTTTCTTCTCTCCTTTACATCTTATTGTAACATTGAAACAATTCAACAGCTATTTATATTCCAAATATATAAATGATTAAAAAGGAATTCACATTTGTCTTCATTAAAAAAAAATCTCTCTCTTGTACTGATCTGCTGAGCAATAATGAATTCTTTTTTCCTTTGTCCTTCTCCTTTCCCTGCCTTAGGGAAGAATATCTGTGTTTTTATGGATCAAAAGACTTCAGTTAAACTGGGAGTAGTCTATAATTTTTTAATCATGTTTTGAAATAACTTCTGTTTAAAAAATCTTCAAGTGAAAGTCTAAATATTTTATTTGGCTTGGTTTATATAGAGATAGCTATCCCAAATACCCACCTTTACTTTGATTGTGTAGGCATGAGCCTTATCTAACAAGATGATTTTTTCCCTTGATTGTTATCACTCTATAAATTTCACTTACCTATTCATTTATTCAACAAAGATTTATGGAACGTCAGACACTATGCTGGGCTGGGGACATAGAAGTGGATAAGCCACGTTGCATCGTGCATTATTGCCCCCATCATACTTTTGCACTTATTACCTCACCTAAACCTTATTTCAAAATAGGTTTGGCAAAGAATACAAATTTTGATTTCGTAGATGTGAAAGTGGAGGCATGAAGGGGTTGAGTGATTTAGTCAGGGTCAATGACATAGTATGAAGTAGTAACAGACGCCAGGTAATCTCACTCTATCTGCCTGTTAGGGTATATTGCCATTCTGATATCTGATGCCTAAGGTCATAGGTGGATTATCTGTGGTTCACCTAAGTCAGTCATTAAAGTGCTGAACTGAATTGGGTGCTATTTACTGTCACACTGAAAGAAAGCTCTGGTTGCAGAAGTCTTGAAGAGAAAGTATAAAGAATATGGTTGAGATTAACCACAGGCATACTTGGACCAGAACTGAGGGTTGGGTCAACAATTCCCAACAGAGCATATGCATGGTCGACTGGTCTTGTTGTACATGGCATAGTACATTTTGGCTAAACTGGATGGATCAAGGCTCCCTATTCCATATGAAAG